TCACATAAGCTGCACAAGCCTCTGCCCATAGGACTTTGGATAAATTTTTGGCATGCAACCAGCTCTTGCACGTCTCAGTGAGATGCCGAATTTTCCTTTCTGCTATGTCATTTTGTTGAGAAGTGTCAGCACAAGTAAGCTGCCTCCGGATGCCATGCTTCGAGCAAAAGATATTGAACACCCGAGAAGTATATTCTCCTCCATTATCGGTCCTCAACAGTTTAATCTTCCTTTGGAGCTCACCTTCAACCTTCTCTTTAAATTCCATAAACTTGAAAATCACTTCAGATTTTTTTTCCACAAAATACATCCAAGTAAATCGAGTAAAATCATCAACAAAGACCATCATATAATGATAACAAAAAAATGTACATGTACGAGTAGGACCCATCACGTCACTATAAATAAGCTTCAATGGTACCTTATATCTTATTCAGGATCTATCAAATGGAAGGTGATGTGTCTTACCATATTGACAACTCTCACATAGTTCTCCATTACTAAAGGTAGTAATATAAGGCAAACCATCAACCAAATTTTTATGCACCATGACTTTTAATTTATCCATATTTAGGTGTCCCAGTCTAGCATGCCAAAGAGAAACATTATAAGTTGTGCTCATTTTATCAACATAAGAAATTGAAGCAAATAGAACAAATAAATCTTTAACTCTCTTACTGGTATGGACGATATCCCTTTCTACTTTGGACACATTCCGCAAAAACTTTACCTCGTTAGGCCTAAACAAAACATAGTGACTGAAATCCACCACATTAGCCACCGAAAAGAGATTCTTTTTCATACCCGGTACATGATACACACTCTTTAGAGTGATAAAATCACCATTTTTGTTGAAGATGGTACATTCCTTCTCTATCGGATGAACTGTATTATCCGCAGTGATAATGGCCTCATTACCTTCATAATTTTGAAGACAAGAGAACTTGGTATCGTCATCGGTAAGATGATGACCGCAATCGAAGTCCACGATCCAATCTTCCTTGAAGTTGATGGTTGCATAAGCATTAACTAAGGTAGTTTCCACTGAGAAACAACTACCCCAATTTTCTTCGACCTCACCATTTTTATCAGCTACATTGCCACCCTTCAGCTTCACTTGGCAATTTTTCCTGATGTGCCCAAACTTATGACAGCAGTAACATTTGATACCATTTTTGTTGCCATTCTTGATCCTTGATGGCTCTTCATCTCCATCTTTCTTTTTCTCTTTCTTTTTCTATAAAATTTCTTCTTTTCGGAGAACAAGGCATCACCTTGAGAAGATAAAGAAAACCCCGTCATTTGTTGCACTAGAGACTCTTGAGAAGAGAGAAGATTCTCAAACTCAACAAGGGATGGCTCTTGAGCCCACCCTTGAATAGAGGTAACAAAAGGAATGTATTCCTTCTTCAATCCATGAATAATATTCCGTATTAATTTCAAAAACGTATATTTATCGTATATTTTTTATACGTTAGACCTGTATTATTAAAGTATTTTAATACCACCAAAAGAGATGGTATTATAATCCAACTGAAACGTATTATTTTACACATTTACCACTATAACCCTCTAACTGATAAAATCAAACTATCATCAATGTAACAAACACTGATTAGAGATATTTTTGTTAATTCAACATTAATACGATAAAATAATTCCTTAACCAAACAACTAATTGAATTAAAGAATTATTATTCAACATTTATGTTGTGTACTACCAAACACTAAATAAAATTACGTATTATTCTAATACCCTATATAATTCGGGCTTGTTTGGTTGTCATATTAAAAATTGATAGATTAGATAAAATATTAGACAGAGTCGAGTTAATACGATAACTCTTTTAACTCGCTACTTGTTTGACTCGTTTGTCATTAAAAATTTTATGTAACTAATTAATAAATATTTCAGCTAATTAATTAAAAAAATTAACACAAAAATATGATATTTAGTGATGTGAACCCATTACAAAAGTTTTAAAACTATAAGATTGAACTCATCAAAAAACTAAATTTAACAGATCTAATTATTAAATTGGATATATTATACTAACTACAAAAATTAAAATAATTATTATTTATCTCACCGAACATGACCCGTTCATTAAATGAGTTTAACGGGTATATCCGTTTATCACATGCATCCATCAATGTCTTACCCAAACTCATTTAATTCCATATCGATTTGTGTCTGTTGATCATGTTGTGTGGCATTTTGACAGGTCTAGTTAAAAGGTTTCACATCTAGAAAATTTTATTTCTATGGGGTTTAATTTGGGAACATAATCCATGATAGTTGTTGGATTGTACCACATAAGACCTTACCCAAATTTAATTTAAGTCATTGATTTTTGATTTTGGATAATTTGTAACAATTTTTTCAGAAAGTGATAAATTAAAAAAAAATTAAGACTTGACATTATTTTATTAAATAAAAAATAAAGATACAATACCAAAAAAAAATAATAATTTGGTACTATAAGTATAATCGCATCCATTACAAATAACCGTCAAAATCACAAGTAAATTAGTTAATATGCAAATCATATATTTTCTAATCTTAGAAAATATAAAATAATTTTAGTATATTCAAAATTTATCTAGATAAATACATAACATGTCTAAAATGTGTCAAAAAATTTATATTCATTTGATATAAATATACACTAATTAATGTACCAAAAAAATAAGGTGAACATATTTAAAAATATTGAAGAAATACTTAAAATATATCTAAATAATGTTAAGAAAAAATATTTGTCGGTGGGCATGTGCCTTCTGGGTATATGTGCCTTCTTAATTTAGTGGTAAAAGAAGGGCTTCATGAATCGTCAGCTGACAAAAGTGAATTGAATCTGAGAGTGCTTAGTAAAAAGGGACAATGGCATACTTTGTATTCTCTACGAGCCCGGAAAATTCTAGTGTGGTTTGTCTCGAAGATTATACGAGAATCTCAACACACACACACAAAAAAAAAATTTGTTGTAGATGTGATTCATACTCACTTTCCTTTTGCATTTTCTTGGAGTTCCTGGTTTCGTTGATCATAGACAAGTGTTGTATGTATGACTACACCTCTGTGAATATTTGCGACACATATTTTTTTTGTACATCTATATGAACATATCGGATACCTCGGATGTTGAGCATGATGTTTCATTTTTGACAAAATAACATCTATATAATAAGAAATTTAATATTGTTTGTTTTGAACTTTTCGCGGCTCAGATTATTTTAAAATTACTGATCAAACGATCGAAACTCTTCCTTCAAATTTTTTACCCGCCCAAAAATTACAAGAATTCTTTCATTTTATTCGATTATCGGTTCAAAGTGATTATGATTAAGATTTGAATTTAGTTGAATTTGATTGTATAAAATATATATTCTCACTTAAATTAACTTTGCTTGAATTTTACGAGTACTCAAGTTAAAGTCAAATTAAAATTAATTGTAAAAATGATAAAGAATAATTAAATTAAAAAAAAGTATGGTGATAAGAATTTGTAAGTTTAAGATAGAAATGTTAATTCTAATTTAAATTCAATTCTTACTTTGACATAGTTATGATTAAAACTCGAATTGAACTGAATTTGATTGTCGAGTATAAAGTATAAAATCTTACTTAAACTTAAATTTAATTGAATTTTACAAATATTCAAATTCAACTCAAATAAAAACTGATTTTAATTTCTCAACAAATTTTTTTTATATTTACATGAATTTGAATCAAACTTTTGGATGATTTTCGCACAAAAGTTACATGAAATCACACTTAAATGAGTTGAAAAAAGATAGATGATGAGACAAAATGGGATATCATTTTTGATATCTTGTGTGCACACGGGTCTGCCGCTAGTATTTAACGATTCGAATGAGACATCAATAAACTAAACACAAGAATAGTAAATTTATAATTGCCTAATCGGCTGGAAGAAAATCCGTCAAACAAACACCTATCGAGGCTGTACTTGTCTCGTGCCATGGCCTTGGCCTCGTCTGAAAATGGTCAAATAACCAATAAATCGCGAGTAGGACCCTAAAAATCCATGCATAGAAAATGCCAAACTTGTTAAATCCACAAAAAGCAACACAAAGTTGCTGTTGGTTCTGTCACCCTCAGCTATCGAATGATAATGCTAATATATATGCACAGTGATGCGTTTTCTGCCGCCGCTTCAAGACCTCTGTGCGACACTTCTGCTTGGATTTTCTGTTGTCTCTATCCTTTTCACTAATTCTTTAAATACCCATCTTAGTATGTACTTTTCTTGCACACACATCTGATCTTGAAGTATATAGTGATAGGGAGAGCACTAAGCAGGGTAGGTAGAGAGAGAGAGATGGGTCTATTCAATTTCATCCTCTTGGCTTATCAACTTCATCCAGTTTTTGGCCAGTAGTTTGATATATACGCAGCCCGAAATGCTGATATGAGTTCATGTAGCTTTGGTTATTGATGGCATGTTTAGTAAGCATAAATGTTTTTTTCAACTTGGTTAAAAGATGAGCTTTGTTACTTAAAAACTTTAACCAAATTCTTCTGGGCATTTTGGTGTTTATTATCACTTGTAAGAATGTCTGCAAATTGTTTCCAACCAACTTGCACGGGTTTGTTAAGTAGTCCAACAAAGGTGCGAAGTGAAAACATGCACATTTTGTGTTTGGGTCTGAAACCCAAGTTTAATTAGTGTACATGGGTTGTTGGTGATTATATGCATTCGAAGTTAATTTGTGTATCACCCATGAGTATAATCGGGTCCTTGAGACAACTCTCCTTCACTGGAAAAAAAAATTATATACAAACAAGGTGGGATTCACTAGTTTGAATTGCTTTAGCAATCATTTCTCTTCTTGTGAGCAGTTTAATAAGCTACACATGTAGCATATTTATCCTTATAATCCTTTTCTTCAAATGTGATGGGTCCAGCAGGCCTCAATTTTGAACATTAAGTCTGAGCAATCCAAAAGCTTGGGCAGTAGTGTAGATTCAGGACTCAGGGGTGGCCCATGTATAGGCCATGTAGTGGCCCATGTTGTAGCTTAGACCGTACTTCAACAACACCAAGTAGAACTAAGTAGCAAGCTATGAACTCCCAAAAATAACAGTAGTACCGAGCCTCAGCCTCCGGCATCGACATCGTCGACGGGGAATCGACAAATGAACTCTCTATGCAACCACTTCTGATCAACACCCAACTTGTGAAGTCACAAAATGGTGCAGGTTGGTCAGCGTGACAAATTGGGTACTGGGGCACAGCGGCAGGATAGTAGGAATGGAACCAAACCGGAGGCTGCGCCGTGGCCGCATTCTTGTTCTCGGTGGTCTCTTTCTTCTCTTCACCACCCACCGCACTAACGCTAACCAGGTCCGCTGAGCCAACGTTCTTCCGCAGCAACGTGGCGAGCACCACCGGGTCGATATTTTCTCCGACCACCGCTATCTGATTATTTTCTTGTCCCTGTAACGCTGCTGACTCTACCCCTGCAAAATATAAGATAAAGATATTAGTCGAGTTGAGCTTTGTCAACTTCACATTTGTTTAAAATTGGCCTATTTCGATTGTGACTAGTTAATTTTCCCGAGCTCGATTGTAAAGTTATGGTTCTTGATCAACCTCAACTCGACAAAACATTATGAGCATTCGAATTAGTCACGAAGTCGAATCTTAAAAATTAAAAATTCTTAAATTTTTATAGTTCGAGAGCTATTTGAATGAGTTTTAAGATTGTTCATATTTTAGATGGGTATTTTAGTAAAAACAAAAGCATTAATCCTGGACAAAGTGAACTAAGTTGAGCTTATAAAAGCCGAATCATATGATGCTTAAAATCAGTTCATTTACATAATGAGCTTAAAAATCTAACTCAATCTTTTTATTCTGTAATTTAAACAAATAAAAATTGAGTCAAACCGAAGCCGAAGAACCAGAGGTTTTCGGACCTACAAAATTTCCTTACCTGAGACACCAACGACGATCTTCATGGCCTTGGAACGAGACTTCTGGCCATTCATTGGCACCCTAATCACCACCTTTTGCTGCAGCAAAACAAACCAAACAAATACTAATTAGCATAAATTTCTGGGTTTTGGATAGTATTTAATTAGCTGTATTCAGCGCAGTGTAATTACACCTTCATCCTCTTAGTTTCCCGGATGTGATGAACAAAAAATCTCTAGCAACAGAGAGAGAGAGAGAGAGAGAGAAGTTATTGAAATGGTTTGGGTATGAGAGGGAATGGTGTGGCTTGTGAGAGTCTGTCATCCTTTTATAAGAGATCGTTTGGTTGATAAATTTATGCTTAAAAACAGAGCCCAAAATTCATCTTCTATAACCTCCAAGAAGGAGATTGTTGTACTTTGTCTCAGGAAAGTGAGTTTTGGTACATACATATATATATATATATATAGTTTGGTATGAGACTACAAAGCATTAACTTGTAGTCAATAATGTTCCACCCAAATAGTTTTTAGATATAAAAATTTGAGTTTTTTAAGGATATCTGTCAAACATTAACTTTCATCAAATTCTTAAAACTGTTTTTATTCGACAATCAGAGTAGTTTTTAATGTGCTACTATTTTGTTCATAATTATATAATTTAATATCAAAAATTCAATACGTTTTATACATCTATAAGATCATCCTCCCAACAAATAACACTCCCAACAAACTGTTACAAAACTTCATATTTAAGGTTGTATAAGTAGTTAAGAATTCATTCATTTATTTCTGAATTAAAAACGAGTCTCACCAGTAATATAGTGATTAATTTCTTTTTCTTTTTGGTTCCCCTTGTTTCTCTCTAAGAATAGATTGGAGCACAATGGCTAGAAAGTGAAAAGCAAGAGGCTTGAGTCCAACACTTGGGTGAGACGTTATTTGAGAAGCCAGACCTATTAAGGATGTTAGATTTACAGAAAGAGTGAATTGAGTACTTAATAGCAATTAAATATGAAAATTCATCGAGGCCAAAGTCTAAAGTCATTCCCCCATTATCAACTTCTGGTTATCGTAATCAAAATCTAAAAAAACCCCTTAACGATTATTGAGAATCTACGTTCTCATAAAATGAGTCATTCTAATCCGATCAATATAAGCAATCAATAAAAGCTACAAGTAGTCCATGTTTTAAATTGAGTGTCTTAGAATTGGATATTAGAATTTTTGCCGCTATTAAATTCAGTTGGTGTTACATCAATTATCATGAAATGATTAGTAATTTATATGTAGTATGAAGCGAGTTTCATTTGAATTTATAACAAGTGATTTGACATAGAAAACATCGAGAGAATCCTATATTAGAATAAATCTTAGTGCACAACCAGCATATTAAAAAAAAAAGTTTTACTATTCTTCTTCTTGTTTTTTTTTGGCGGATAAGGTGTTAGTATTTAACAAATACTATCTATACCGAACCTATGTCCTCAATCAACATTTTGATCGTCCTCTTGCCCAATTGCTTCGAAACATCCATGCAATATTGTAAGTCCTTATCACGGGTTATTAAAATCCAATCACCCTCCTCAGTATCCAGGTAGCTGATGCTAAACTTTCCACGCATCAACTTCAGACTCTCTGAGACGTTATCCTCTAACTCTGTCTTTCGTGACAAAGAAGAAAGCGGAAATTGTATAATACCAGTTCTATATGTGGCCTTTATGTTGAAGGTCTTCATATCTTGCATTGCTGCAACATCTGGCATTGGATCAACAATAGGAGACACTTTATGCTCAGTGGGCATTTGTCTAGCTGAGGTTCTAGGCTGCATGGAAACTGGAGTATTTGGGATGCAATATGGTGCTGATGGAATTGCTTCTGTCTGTTGTAGGTTGGATCTTCTCAATTCGGCAGGCGAGCACATTGAACCAAGAACACGATTAATTGGACCTATAGTGAAACTAGGTTGACAGAGTGCTCCCTCAGTACCTCGTACAGATTCATTTCCACAATTTAGCTTAGGGAGGTCGTTACTACCTTTCTTTCCCTTGCGAAATGGCCATTTCAAGATCCCATGCTTCCTACAGAAGCGCTTCAACGTAGTTCGGCTAACTACAAACAAAGGATCTGCATAAGAGAAAAAATCTAGCTTCCCCACAAGAAGTTAGCCGGTGAAAAACAAAAAATCTAGCTTCCCCACAAGAAGTTAGCCGGTGAAAAACAAAAAATCTAGCTTCCCCACAAGAAGTTAGCCAGTGAAAAACAACAAGAACAGAATCACAAATAAAAACTCTTAAAAATTATAAGCTTTACCACTAAGGCACTTTGCAGCATCATCGAGCTTCGTTCCATAAAGTTGTGGAAGAAACTCTGGACTAAGTAATGGAGATATCATTTTTCTGCTATTCTTTTCTGAATCTGTAACAGGAATGTCACTTTGATCCGTAATAACAACGTTCCCTCTGATGCATGTGACATCAAAGTCTACCATTGGTTGCTGCTCAGATGAACCTATTCGCATGTCTGCCCCATTTGGATAAGCTTGAGGACCTTGTGGAGACCTAGTATTTTGAGATATTTGAACATAGTCATGACTCAAATCAGGTTCGTTATTGGGAAAAGATTTGATAGTTTGTACAAATATTTCCTCTCGCAGTCCTTCTCCGAAAGCAATTTCCGGTCGTCCATTGCAAAACTGGTTCATCAGGTCAAGTATTTTCAGAGAACATATCAGTAAATATTACTAAAGAGAAAAGACTAAATATCTGATAATCATAAGATACCTGAGTCTTCCGATGACCAATTATGTCTATTCTCCCCATAACATATCTGCCTTTTAGTTGGATACACATGAGGATGACACCAGAAGATATGCCTTTCATCTGAACATTTTGAAGTTTCATTCGTCCAAAGACAATCTGTTTCATAATTAATGTCAAGTATTTTGTGAGAAGAGATCAATAAAGAAAAATAAAGAAAAAAGATGGACACCATAAGTTTATGGCTGAACAAATATTTCTGTACACTTCAATTTTACCGCCACCAGGCTGCAGGATAACCAGTAGTATGTAAGTGATCACTCTAAAAGATACAGAGACTCCAGATGGAATATTTAGCAGGATTTGATAAAGCATGTTTGATGCGGGGAAGCAGGTAAAAACACGGGTATGAGGGATAAGAAAGGGGTTGGGAGATAGAATGAAGTCAACCCATTGATTTACGCATAATCTTACACTAGGCTTGTCAATTCACAAAGAATACTTATCCTCAAGACTTCAATTTATCTGTTGATTCTTAAGAATATCAGAATAATTGGAAAAAAGAGACACAAGCCTCCTCTGTAATATTATTCATCAAAAAATGTTTTGCCCTAAGGGTTACATTAGGTGCATAGAAGGGTACATGCCTAAGTAATAAAGTGTCTGGAAGTGCACCACAATCAGCAAGTAAACTAAAATATATATATGGGTCTAATTAATTTTGGGCACAATCAGCAAAAATCTGTACTGCAAAAATACAATCAGGTTAAGATATTGTCGGACGAAGCAAGAGATGGAGTAGGATGAGATTACTATGTACTGCTTGTCTAATATGGTGTACTGTTTCATTCATCTGTAAATGCTTTTGTACTTGCTCATTTAAAATTCAATATAAATGATTCTTCTTTTACCAAAAAATAACTTAAATCCTAACCCCAAGAGAGTAAAAAAAACATAATTCCTTTTGGGCCGGTACAATTGGATAATCCATTTGGAAAACCAGAAGGCAAGGTAGCAAAAGGTGAATGTAGTTGCCACCTTAAAGACCTCTGTACCGAGATGTAACAAGGGATCCCCAGAAAAAGATTAATGGGTCTGCCCTTACAGTATATACAACTCAAAATTTATTAGCCTTTTAATCATGATGAGTACGTCCAAACTAGACAAAAGGAAAAAAGTTGAGATGATGATGCTTTAGAAAGAAGACCAAGTACACAATTGATGTTATTTTCACAAGAAACTCACTCTCTTCAAAACCATGACCTGAACCAAGGCAAAAAACAAGAAAACAAAGAAGATAGATAGATTCCTTATTTTCAGTTAACTGGAATGTGTCTGAGCTTCTTAGAGCTCACAACATAAACAAGAACCCTAACCATACAATATAGAAACATTATTTATATTCCATTTATTTAGGCTTGTTCCTCAAGAAAGTATCAACTAATAAAGACTACTTAAGTAATTTAATTTTAGTTGTTAGAGGATCAACTGTACATTGCCCTCGTTTGATAATTTCCGGCAACTAGATGCTGATCTACATCCACATTCTACTACAAATGAATTCGAGAGGTTTATTCTCTCTGAATTTTTTGCTTGGCTAACCCTAGTGCAATAAAAACACTCCTCGTCGTCATATTTTCAGTCTTTCAGAAGTTCATTACAAATAGAGAGACTTTTAAGTCCAGGCTGGAAAATACTCGCATCAGAAAATATATCAGATAAGTGAACTTGCAGTGCGCAATTTATTTTCATAGGCACATCAAATGTTTAGTTTCTCCTTTTTTTCCCATTTTGAGGATAATATAAGATGAAATTGCAAAAAGTAAATAGATAAATAATGTTACAATGAGTTCAACTACCCCACTCCAAAAATTATTCAAACAGAATTTCCATGAGGAAATGAAGCATCGTCCAATATCACTGTGAAAACCTTAAGAATAAATATTAAGGAACGGACCTCTAGCTCTTTGCAGCGAGAAAATTTACTCTTCGGGAGAAAATCTTTTCTATTATTTAGTAAGAAATCCTCCACTTCGAGCACAAGATCGCATGCACCGTGCTGTCCAGAACAAACAATACATAAGAGCAAGCATTCAAATAGAATTCCCACGAGAAAATGAAGCATCATCTAGCTCAAGAATAAATATTAGGGAAGGAGTGACGCGTATCTTTTTGAGGACGCTGAAATCTTTAGCATCTGGACGAAGATATGCTAATTTTTGTCCAATCACCATCACTTGACGCTCAAAAAGAGTAACGTAGGACTGTTAGAACAAAAAATACATATGATCAAATTATTTAAACAGAGTTTCCATAAGGAAATGGTGCACTATCTAATAACCACAACGAAGAAGAAATATTAGGGAAGGAATGACCTCTTGGTCTTTGAAGGCTTTGTCAATATCTGGATAATTAATCTCTACATTTCTCCAATTTATGCTTTCCCCCTGTGGTGTGTGGTTGAACTCAACAACAAAAAAATACGGTTCAGAAAGTCCAAGGTGTTTGTTAACCTCCACTGTCATTCCTTTGCCCAGCCCTGGAAAACGTTCAGACACGTTCTTGAAAATACAGCCAATGGGTATCATCATCCAGAAACATAAAAACGTAGTAGATCGTGGGCAGATAATTTGACACTGTATTGCTCAGGCACTTTAGTATAATCTAATGTAGTCACTCCTGAATATGATCATTAAATCTTTAAAAAGAGAAGAGTTTTGAATAAAGATTAATATCTACCTTTGGAACTTGTTTTTAACTTAATTTTATCCAAATTTAAGTTAAAATTTGAGTAAAGGTTGAAAATACTCTCACTGAAACGAGTTGGAGGCTCGACAGGGACCGGTGGAGCCCCGGTGGTGCCATCGGGACACGGAGAGCCTGCGGCGGACCTGAACTTGTCATCTAGAGAAAGATCCCGTGTGGCGGCCATGGATGGCAAATTTAGTTCCCGATGTGGAGGCTCGGCAAGCTCCGGCTGAGGCCCGGTGGTGTCAGTCGAAGGGCCGGCGGAGAAATCATCTGAAATCCACAGAGAAGAAAAGGATAGATCGGGAAACGGAGAGCCTACGGCGGACCAGAACTCGTCATCTAGAGAAAAATCCACTGTGGCGACCACCGAGGGCGAATTTAGTTCCCAAGTTGGAGGCCCGACAAGCACCGGATGAGGCCCGGTGGTTTTAGTCGAAGGGCCGGCGGAGAAGTCATCTGAATTCCACAGAGAAGAAAAAGATGGTTCGGGAGACGGAGAGCCTAGGCCGGACCAGAACTCGTCATCTAGAGAAAAAACCCCTGTGGCGGCCATGAAGGGTCGAATTTAGTTCCCAAGTTGGAGCCTCGACGAGGACCGATTGAGGCTCGGTGGTGCTAGTCGAAGGGCCGGCGGAGTAGTCAGCTGAATTCAACACCATGCCAACACCATGAATTAAACACCATGCCAACTTCTCCTTCTTTACAAGGAGAGTCGGTACACATCATCTGTTTACTTGCGCCATCTTTAACCTTAACGACCGGTCTCATATTGTCCTGTCTTCAACTAGAACCAGAGCAGCTACTTTTAAGCGTTAAGTTGGTTGCCCTGGAACTTTTTGGACGAAAAGCGGGCAAGGACCGAGGGTTCAGGGGTCATTGTAACATGCCATTTATTTTTTGTAAATAAAATATTTAATAATATTACGTTGATCAAATTTTAAAATTAAATTAAAAATTTAAATGATATGACAGTTAATTTAGACTTCTTTATTTAGTATCATGTCATTTGGGTCTTAATAAAGACTCTAAATCATATACTGTCATGTCATTTGAATTCTTAATTTAATCCTAAAATTTAATCAATATAACATTAATTGATATTTTATTTTAAAAAAAAAAATGGCCTTTTACAATGACCCCCGAACCCGGAACCCTTTTACAAAAAATAAATGGCCTGTTACAATGACCCCTGAACCCAGAACCCTGAACCCTGTGCCCTTGCCCGCTATTCGTCCAAAGAGCTTCAAGTCAACCAATTTAGCGGTTTTGATCAAAAAAAAAACCCAACTTAGCGGTTTTGACCCAAAAAATATCAACCTAGCGGTTAAAAGGATAGTAAATTACATTTAATCCTCCTAAATTATTATTTTTATTTTATTTTATACTCTTCACTATACAATTTCTTATATTATATCCTTAAATATCAATTTTATTTCATATTAATTTAATAAATAGTGACAAACTTGCAAATCTATCTAAGGCCGGAGAAAAACCCCAAAGAGTTTCCCACCAAATGTCTAATACCACTTTATTTTACCTCTTTTGTAACCAAATTGTTGCTGAAAAGAAAAAAAATATCTGCCAGAGAAATAAAATTTGGAGCTTAAGAATGGCAAAGTTATGAATAGATATTTTTCTTGACTTTTAACCTACACATGTGCAATAGGCAGTTACTTATTAACAATATAGACCACTCACAAGCGCATTTACAATCAAAAAATTGATAATCATTATCCTATTGAAATGATATGAAATAAAATTGATATTTTTCAGGTGTAATGTGAGAAATTTTATAGTTTAAAGTGTAAAATAAAATAAAGGTAATAATTTACATAAATAAAATATAATTTAGCCTTCAAGGTAGATATGTCAATTTTGTTGAATTAAGTGGTTTTGTGGCGAATTCTAATGGATTTGGATGAAAAGTTATTTAATTTGTACACAATTTGTTTAATAAAATAGGTAAAAATCTACAAATCGAATACAACTTGTTCAATTAAATAAGTTACATAACACGATTCATTTAACCTATTTAATAAATGAATTGTATTAAGTAGAGTCGGGTTAATACGATGACTCTTTTAACTCGTCACCTATTTGACTCGATTGTCATTAAAAATTTTATATAACTAATTAATAAATATTTAAGTTAATTAATTAAAAAAATAACACAAAAATATGATATTTAGTGATGTGAACCCATTACAAAAGTATTTAAAACTATAAGATTGAACTCATCAAAAAACTAAATTTAACGGATCTAATTATTAAACTAGATATATTATACTGACTACAAAAATTGAAATAATTATTATTTATCTCACCGAACATGATCCGTTCATTAAATGGGTTTAACGGGTTTACCCGTTTATCACACGCACTCATTAATGTCTTACTCAAACTCACTTAATTCCATGTTGATTCGTGTTTGTTGATCGTGTTGTGTGGCATTTTGAGATGTCTAATTAAAAGGTTTCATATCTAGAAAACATTATTTCTAAGGGATTTAATTTATGAACATAATCCATGATAATTGTTGCATTATAGTATCAAAGAAAAGATATCGGGTTTGTATTACTCTTTAGACTAAATACTATCATCTAAACACACACTGGATACAAATTCAAGTTCAGAATCAATAGATCAAAGGACATGATAATGGTACCACAGGAGACCTTACCCAAATTTAATTTAAGTCATTGATTTTGATTTTGGATAATTTGTAACAATTGTTTCAGAAAGTGATAAATTTTAAAAAAATTAAGACTTGACATAAATTTATTATATAAAAAATAAAGATCCGATACAAAAAAATAATAATTTAGTACTATAATTGCATCCATTACAGATTTTTAATTCTAGAAACTCGCATTTTTGTACGGGCGGGCATTACTTCAATTAAAGGATCTGAGCTCAATTGATGACTATTACTAGGAAAATGTTATGTTTACCGATTTTTTTTATATGCCTGACAATTTCCTAGATGTCGGCTGTTGTTTGGGTTTGCTCACCACATGGGCTTCGCCACGTGGTGTGTAAGACTCCTGAAATTTTTTTCCTAACGTAGCTGAACCCCAAATCATTCAAGGTCGATAAGCCCCTCTTTTACCAACTCTTCTTGTCCCATTGTCCGGCAAATGGCAATAATCAAAGTCTTTTCGCACACTAGCATATTGCCTGTCACAAAAGTCCATTCCCATGAAATAGTACTGGCAAAACCTCTAAATTTAGTGGTAAAAGAAGGGCTTCATGAATCATCAGATGGCAGAAGTGAATTGAATCTGAGAGTGCCTAGTGAGAAGGGACAATGGCATACTTTGTATTCTCTCTGAGCCCGGAAAATTCTAGCTCCGTCCCTACTTGCTCATGGTGGTTTGTCTTGAAGATTATATGAGAATCTCAACACAAAAAAAAAAAAAAAAACCTTTTCTTGTTGCAGTCAAAGACATGTTGTAGATGCGATCCATACTCATTTCTCATTTGCATTTTTTTCGTGTTCCTAGTTTGGTTGACGATGGGCAACTGTTTTATGTATGACTATACCTCGGTGAATACTTTGCGACACATGCATTTGTACATCCATATAAGCATCTCGGATACCTGGGATGTCTAGCATGATGTTTGTCTTTTGGCAAAATAACATCTATATAATAAGGGAGTTAATATTATTTGTTTTAAATTTTTTGCAGCTCAGATTATTTTAAGATTATTGATCAAAAGATCAAAATCCCTCCTTCAAATTTTTTTCCACCCAAAAATTACAAGAATTTTTTCATTTTATTCGACTATCGGTTCGAAGTGATTATGATTAGGATTTGAATTGAACTGAATTTGTTTATCAAGTATAAAGTACTAGTTGTTACTTATGCCTGAAGACACAAAATAATAATAAAAAAATGGTCAACAATAAACGTATTTGTATTTATACTAAAAATCAAATCATAAATATAGAGGAGAGAAAAAAAAATTTAAACCTCAATTGTAATAAGGGTGAGCAGTTGTAGTGATGGTTAGCAGTAGTGGTGGTAGTGGTAGGAGACGGTAATGGTTGTGGCGACGATGATGGTGATGGTGGCAGTCGTGGATAGCAACGGTGATGGTGATGGTTGATTTTGGGCGACAATGATAGTAGCAGTAGTTATGGGGGACAATGGTGATGGTTGTTGGTAATGATGGTGGTGGGTGACGACAGATTCTTCAATACGATAGTGTGATGAATGGTAGCGAATGACGGTAATGGTAGCTGTGGTGGATGTGGATAACAATGGGTGGTGGTAGTGGTGGGCAATAACGGTGGCAACAGTGGTGGGGTGACAGCAGTGACGATGGTGGTGGTGTGTGGGGTGGTAACGGCGGTGGTAGTAAGGGTGATAGTGGTGGTAGGTTGCCGGCAACAATTGTTGTGGCAAAGGGTGATGGGATGGTGACAACAGAAGTGGTGGTGGTAATAGGGGTGAGGCGGTGGGGGTGGCAGTGATGGTGGTGGGGGTAGTTGTGGTGGTGGGTTGGCGGCGGGGGTTGTAGTTGTGGTGGTGGGGCAGTTCTAAACACTATTTTTTTTTAAAAATATTTATGAGAAGTTATAAAATACTTTTAAAAAGTCACTCAAACACACTTTTAAGTGTTTATTCCCTATTAAATTTGAGGTGTTAATATTAGGGTTAATTATAAGTTGCACCCCGAAAGATAGTTCGAATCTCAATTTGTACCCCTAAAGATAAAAAAATCTCAATTTGTACCCTCAAAGATATAAATTTGCATCAATGTACACCCCCAAAGATAAAAAATCTCAATTTACACTCTCAAAAATATAAATTTGTATCAATGTGCGCTTAAAACTAAATTGATAAATTATAGCTAGATCCCCTCATGGTTATCACTTAATCATTTGGACCCCTTCACATTTAGAATATTGCTCCTACATCTCATGACGTTTGTGCACGTATAACACATAACTCTTTTTCATTGATATCTGTTAATATAACCGTTAAAAAATATGATTTTATTCTAATAAAAAATAATAATTTTATATTACCCTTTATTTTGTGGGTTCGATATATTTTAAAGTTCAAAATCAAGTTTACTATTTGAATTTCCAATTGAATGCAGATATTTATATAATATTTTTTATATCCAATGTAATATATCACTCAATGTGCAACCCTTTATTTAATTGGACATTCAAATGGTGAGCTTGATTTTGAACTTTAGATTATATTGGACCCATAAAATAAAGGGTAATATTAAATTATAATTTTTTATTATGATAAAATTATATTTTTTAACGGTTATATTAACAGATATCAACGAAAATGGGTTACGTGTTACACGTGCACAAACATCATAAGATATATGAGTAATATTTTAAATGTGAAGGAGTTCAAATGGTTAAATGACAAGCATGAGGGGATCTAGGTATAATTTACCAATTTAGTTTTAGGTAGCAAACTGACAAAGGTTAGTTTTAGGTGCACATTGATACAAATTTCTATCTTTAAAGTTGTAAATTTAGATTTTTGATTTTTGGGAGTGCACATTGATACAAATTTTTATTTTTGAGGGTTCAAATTGAATTTTTTGATCTTTGAGGGCACAAATTGAGATTCGAACAATCTTTCAAGGTGCAATTTGTAATTAACCCTTAATATTAGCTATCGAGTTAACTTTACAATAAAATTTTAAAGAGATCTCAACCAGAAAAAGTAAAAGTCATTTTGTTTATCTTTTGAGATTTAAATTGTATTGTACTTTATTATATAGATATATTCTTACTTAAATTTAATTTTGCTTGAATTTTACGTATATTCAAGTTGAAGTCAAA